ATGAGCACGAAGAAGCCTCGTGCCAAGTTGAGGAGATGATCGTCCCTCGGTAGCGACGCGAATAGATTAGCTGTTGCCATAGCGCGACGGAGGGATGCGAAGAAGCAGTGTTCTTTGGGCGTGAGCACGCCCATCATTAGCTTCCGTGGGACACTAGAACGAGAAACTCACGATGAATGTCGACGCCCATCCGATCTTTGATGCCTTGCGTTCCCACGCCAATGCCGAAAGCGACACTGAAGCCAACCACGAAGAATACTTGGGCAGCTTGGGCGGCCAAGAAAGCCTTGACATTGCTTCCACTGAGACCTCTTCTTCGCAAGCTCCTATTGTGCGCCAGAATTTGCAACGGACTGCTCGAGAGGGTCAAAAGAGGCAGCAAAGAGTAGGGCGCCCACACGCTGGGATCGTGCAAAGGATTGAAACTTGGAATTTCGTCGTGAGGATCCAAGTTTGGCTTGTCGTGCGGTGTGTGAGAGTCGTCTGGCGCAAGCGTGTAGACTTTCGACAGCGCTATGGCCAGGATGACAGGATAGAGCGAGACGGCGAAGAAGGTCGACAATCGAATCAGGGTCCGCTTGGCGAGAGGGAACACGACCAAAGGAGTGGTCAGGAGGCCACCAATGAGAAGCGTGACTAGCGCCCGATCGTGCAGCGCACTTCCGGACGGAAAATAGTGAAAAAGCACTTGGAGTAGGAGATCGGCAAGCGCAAAGTACGCAATGACCGCTGCACCGGTCGCATACACCGCCAAGAGGATACCAGAAAAGGCTCGCCCCAAGCTGCCCTTCCAGCGCGTGTGCCTACCAAAGCTCGCTCCAGTGATCGCCTCGACGGTCGACCCTTTGACGTAGCGGCTAAGCACGACCCAGAGGCCACCGCCCGCACCTCCAAGAATGGCAACGACGACTAGGCCTCCCACCCCAGCTGCTATGCCCGTTCTCTCGAAGTAGTAGGGCATGGAGAGGAGAACCGCAGGATGGAGCGAGGCAGCGAACAAGTTGGAGCTAACGTGAGGCGCTGAGAGCGAGGCGTGCGCTGGTGAGGAGTGAGTGAGCCACTTCCAATAGCGCTTCGTGCGAGTAGAAGAGGGTTTGAGCGTTTGGAGATAAGAGTCTGCTCTGGCTCTTCCGCCACCCCGCTCGGCTTCATTTTCACCGCTGGTGCCCCGGACTGGTCTGACAATCCTTCTGCGCTCTTGGTGTCCGCCACTGGACAGAGCCAAGGGAGCACCCTCATCTTCCGAGTCCGTATGGCCCTCTTCTCCTCCTTCCTCGTTCTCTTGCTCCTCATCCGACTCATCCCACGCAGTTCCGTTCACTCCTTCTTCTCGACCCACCGAAATACTTCGCAAAGCGTCGGTCTCCTCGTCATCTTCCTCTTCAAAGGCACCGGCCGCTCCTTGACTCGGTGACTCCGCTCGGAACTCTCGTCCTCGTGCTGTAGTGTGCATGGAGATGGAAGAGCGCACAGAGTGATTGGGACTGATTGTCCCGTCCGCGACTCTCTCCGTTCTTGAGTTTGCCATGTTGTGTGGAGCTTCGTGTTGGGCGCAGGGCTTAACGAGCGTCGAAGGCGAGGAGGAGCGCCGAGCGATGTCTGGGTGATCAGGCGCAGAGGCAGGTCAAACGTAGAGGTGATCGCCTTGGAGGACCTGCTTCATCGCTCGAGTCAAGAGCAAGTCTGGGTGGTGAAAGCTCCAGGGCGTGTAGGTGGGCCGAGCGGCTTCCTGTGTTCGCTTGCACAGTCTGGCAATTCGTGAGTGTCACGATCGGATCGATTGGGCGACGGCGCTCTCGATCCTGTCTCAGCGGTAAAGCTCGATTCTGCATGCCTGTCATTCAAGATTGCAAGCACGATGTCGTCCTGGGTCTCGATCGAGTTCGCGATCACGATCCGTGGGTTCAAGCGGGGAGAGAAACGACGGCCCTTTTGGTCACGTGGTTTCGCGCGCTCGCCTCGCGACACGCGACCTCGCAGCGCGTCGAGGATATGCAGCCAGCATGGCGCACAAGAACAAAAAGATGTGCCGATCGAGCAGCAGTCAGCAGAGGCCGTTGAGCGTGCATCCGCCGCCAGAGCGAGGGCTCGCTCATCTCGCGCTCTGGGACCGCGGTCTGTCAGCTATCAGAGACAGGTGAGCATTCAGATTGAGGACAGATCGAGATGCTCATCATTTCATATAAGTCTCCCACCATGTGCACGCGATGCTCGATCACGACAAGGCAAGAAGGCGAAAGGGATGACGTAAAGCACGCTTGTGGCCGCGGGAGGGACAGCATGTGCCTGGATGATTTGCGCGAGGTCTGCACGGGAGCGCCCGCGCGTGTTGTGTTGTGTTGGTTGAAGCGCGTCTCAGCCCGCGGCGGGGGCGGTCGTTGAACGAGCGTGCCCGTTCGTTCCCCTTACCTGCCTGCCCGTCTCGCAGTCGTGAGGTGACTGTACCGTGAGTTGCCGCTCGCATCCAAGCTTGGAACGAGTGAGATGCGCCATGCAGCGCGTTTGGCGTGCGCACCGTACCGGTAGAGGACAGGTCAACATGAGACGCGAGAGAAAAGAGAAAGTTGGTTCAATTGATGCGTTCCTATCCTTTAACTTGCAAGGATGCAAAACGATCCACCAGATTTGATTTGATCCATTGCATGCCAACTTCTCCACGATTGCTCTGGCGTGCACCTCGACCGCTTGACTTTGCTTTCGCCCCTTACGAAGTGGAGTCTTGAATGCAGGGATACTCAGCACCTGACTTGCCGCTCTTGACCACCATCGACATCCTTGCTACAGGACGATCCAGCACCACCACCACCACAACCATCGACAGTCGGCCAATCACAGCTCGCCCCCCACGCCGTGCGCCCTTGGTCCACTCAAGTTCGAAAGAGTATCGCCTAATCAAATTTACACCTTATCGACGATTCTCTCCTGTCGTCCAACGACCCACACACCGACCTCGTCCGGCAAAGCCTCATTCCGACTACCATTGCATAACGCACCGCTGCCTCTAAGAGCTCGAGCACAACCCTTCCCAGATTGCTCTTTCTCATCCACAGTGTCAAACGATGGCGGCGACAGCAGCCTGGCCTGCTCCTCGTGGGGGTCCATCGCGTATGATGCCGGGAGGATTCGAGAGCCGGCACGCTCCTGGGAGCGTTCGGGAAGCGATGCAGCCACGCACAGCCCGACCCGAACAAGCCCTACGCTCAAGTAGAGCTCAAGCGGCAAGCGGAGGTGGACCTGCACCGCTTGAGGACCTTCCCGATGAACTGGCAGATGGCCTCTCGCCCAGCAAGAAGAAGAAGAAGAAAGCAGCAGAGAAGAAGAGGACCAAGACTCAGATGCCCGACTTTCCCGAGGAAGTGATGGATGAAACGGGCGCTTTTTGGAAGTCTGGCAGGGTGCTTGGTCAGGTGAGTGACGTCTAGAGGCTGTTGCTTGGCGTTGCGGATGTCTGAGCAATCTTCTATGCCCAAACACGACTCTTGCAGGGAGGTTTTGCCAGGGTGTACGACATGTCGGATGCTCATGGCGCACGCAGAGCTTTCAAAGGAATCAGCAAACTCGCCTTGGTCGAGAGCAAGAAGAACAAGGCTAAGGTGAGCGTGGTACATGCAATCCTTTGCACCCTTGCTCGATAGCTTCGGCTGCTCATTCTGTGGCAAGCATTCTCCTCGCACTACGCAGCTCTTAGCAGAGATCATGATCCACCGATCTCTGGATCACCCAAATATCGTACGCTTCGAAGAAGCGTTTGAAGATGAGAACAACGTGTACTTTAGGCTGGAGCTCTGCAAGAACGGGGTACGTTGATGTTCATCCACTACCTACCAGGTAGCGAAGAAACGCTCACAGCTGTCTTCTGCGCATTTGCACAGAGCATGAACGACATTCTCAAACGTCGCGGCGCATACACTGAGCCAGAGACGCGATTCTTCATGATTCAGATCCTTGCCGGGGTACAGTACATGCACATTAACTCGGTGATCCATAGAGATCTCAAGCTTGGCAACATCTTCCTGGATGAGGGGATGAACGTCAAGATTGGTGATTTTGGATTGGCTGCTCTGCTCAAGTACAGGGGCGAGCGCAAAAAGTGAGTCGGGTTCTGCTGCCGCCAACGACGTAAAGCTGACCTTTCATTGTGATCCCACGCTGACAGGACAATGTGCGGCACACCGAATTACATTGCACCTGAGATCATCGAGGATCCTCACTCCGAAGGACACAGCTTCGAGGTGGACGTATGGTCTGTTGGTGTGATTCTGTGAGTCTCTGTAGTTCATGATCGTCCGGATCGCTTCAGCCTCTGACGTCAGTTTCACTTTTGCAGCTACACTTTGCTCGTCGGAAAGCCTCCTTTTCAAACCAACGATGTCAACGGCATCTACGACAATATCAGGACGAGCAACTATCAGATTCCAAATGACGCGAGGATTAGCCAAGAGGCGTGCGACCTCATAACCCTTATCCTGGCGCGTAACCCCGGTACGTGATCGGAGAGTGATCTCGACTTGCAGTCGATGCAAACGACATCTGACTTTCTTTTGCTTTGGTCCGATGTAGCCGACCGCCCATCCCTTATTCAAATCATGAATCATCCGTGGTTCCAAGTAGGAGCTGTGCCTATCGGCGTTCCCCAAAGCACCGCGATGGGCATTCCAAGCGACATCATCCTGCCTCGGACGGTGGCAGAATCCCGTCAAAACTTTGAGCGTCTCAAGGCTGCTGCACGCTTCCGCGACGATGCGGACGACCCAGTGGACGAAGATGCCGACATGGTAGACGAGAATGGTCAGGCCAGCGTCAGACGTACTGCCAGGGAGGAGAGGCGAGAACAGGAACGCGTCGAGGAAGAGCGAGACAAGCTTAACAGGAGAATCAACCAGGCTGTGCAGCCTGGCAGCCCCATCGCCTCCTTACTCAAGTACGTATACATGCAAAGCGGTGCCAGCCTTGATAAAACTGGTGCTGATCATAGTCATCACGTCTCCCACACGCAAACAGAGCTGGGCGACAACCGCTGGTCAGAGTGGGTGGAGCTGGGGCCTCGACGAATGCGGGCGTTCGCACTGGCGTTTCTAGCCTTGCCAAGCAGCTCAGCCAGCTTAACGTCAAAGCCCAACATGGCCACGGCACGGCTGCTCCCAATGGAGACAAGATCAGTGCTTCGACTCGGGCTCGAACGGTCGACAAAGAGAACGCAGGACCTGGCAGCGGCATGCCACCTCCACAATTACCTCGCGCGCGTCAAGGACACGATGGTGAAGCACTCGATGTGGACGAGAGACGTTTGCTGGGTCAAAAGGCCCGGCTCGTAGCAAGCATGACGGCAGCCGCTGGCAGCGCTGTGAGCGCCGCGAGTGCAGAGTCGGCGAATCGTAGAGCTCGTGCTGGCGATATCGACAGAGCATACGAGCAGCACCTTCAAGCTGCGCAGCAGCCGGGCAAGAAGCTGTCTTCATACGAGGCCACTGTCAAAAATCTCGGCGACGCGCTCCGCTGCTTGGACGACGACTTGCCATTTGAGGCTGTCGACTCGGCGGGCGACCCCATCGAGGTTTCTCTGTACGAGGACCATGCGGATCCGCAAGGACTCAAGCGTCCAATCTTGCGACACGCCTTTGTGCTTTGCTGGCTGGACAACATGGACCGCTTCGGCCTTGGATACGGCCTGTCGGATGGGTCATTGGGCGCATACTTCAGAGATGGCTCGTCAATGGTGTACAACAACAATCGCACATACTGCGATTTCAACTACCCCGTCCGCACACGTCCCACGAGCTCTGCCAGCAACGCCGCCGACGAAGGAAGGGCTGGCCCTCGCGAGCTCAGAAGAGAGTCTTTACAATTACCTGAACAGCCTGCGAGGGACACAACTCAATCTGATTCGGTCAGGACGCGTTGGCGCATCATGGCGCACTTCGAGTCGGAAATTCACGAGCGTCTGCTCGGAATGGACCACCCTTTGCTCCATCCCGACGTGGAAGCTGAGAGCGGCATGCCTTTCGTACACAAGTGGGACAGAGCCACCAACGCCGTCGTCTTCCGACTCAGCAACGGCATCATCCAATTCAACTTCTTCGACCACATCAAGGTCTTCCTCTCCAACGAAGGCTCCGTCGTCTCGGCCATCGATGTTGTGCGTGCCGATGGAGGCCCAAGCATGCGAAGCTGGCTTCTCTCGGATCTGATCGCCATTGCGCACAACGATCGATCGGCAAGAGAAGCCGAGGATGAAGAAAGGGTTCAGAATGAAGGAGTCGAACCAATTCTGGCTCGCACAAAGCCAGCAGATAGGAGGCTCGCTAGAACCTTGATTCGCAAGTTGAAGTACATGCATGGAATTTTGGCTCCTAAGGCTGCGCCGTCTGCTAGAACAAGCAAGCCTCCCGTCGCTGGCACACAGTCCGCTGGTGTTGCCGGTGCCTCGGCTGCGAGCGGCGCGATACGGACCAATGCTCTGACTCGCACTGCAAGCACCGCAAGCGTTGCTAGCTCCGCCACCAGTAGTCACATCACTGGTGCCTGAGCAAGCGGTTCCACGCGGCACCACACCCTCCTAATCTATTCGGCAGATCTCGAGCCCACTGCAGCATTGCTTCTTTTCTCGCTCGTCTCCTCCACAACTATTCAATTCGTTTCCACAAAGCTCGCTCTCGAAACTTTTTTGCTTCTTTCCATCTGCCGATGTGATTCTTCCATCTCTCCTTGCCTCCACAGATGTCGACACACAGCTCCGGCATGACCACGCAACCCCGTGCTAGCTGGTCGATCACAGGCTCGCGCTTCGCGCAATCTCTGCACCCTGAACCCACTTCCAGAATCAGAACCAAACGGCTCCACAATCAAGCACAAGACCACTACCAACACCAGAACTCTAGATGGACCTTTCACAGACCCCCCTTATTCTGACGAAAGAAGAGCCCTTCTGCAATTGCAATTTCCATATGATCTTAAAGCGGCTGTCTTGCGGAAGTAGTGCAATTAGGATGCGATGTGATGATTAGCCAAAGGTGGTGCGGAAGTACTCTGCACCGATGTTAGCAATGTCCTGCACGAGGTCCGCGAGGTCTGTGAAGCTCGTCTGGGGGTGTACGACGAGCCTGGATACCGAGAGAGAGTGTGTGTGTGTGCAGGGTAAGATCATTGGCCGTCTTGCGCCTCGTCTCGCTCCTCAAACAGATCCACTCACCTAATGAACTCGCCGATTTCTCCAGGCAGTGGAGCAAAGTCTACCGCAAACCTTCTTCTTTGGCGCAAAGTTGCATGAACATGTCGCGTGCACTTCGAAAGCGCCTGTATTTTTTCATCCTTTCGCAGA